AATACTGTAAATTTTAAAACTAAACAAATGAAGAACTTACAGAATAAAGTGTTGATGTATTTCCTCATAATTTCATAACATATTTTCTTGTGAGTTTTTTTGGGAGTGAGTCATACAACAACCATTTTCTCAGCTATAGCTCACCAACTAACAGAGTCTAGTGTTGACCATTGATTATGGGAATCACTAAAATTTATGCTTTCTCAACATTTTCTTTGGTGATGTGCTCAAGAAAAATCTTGCTCTCAATATATTGATTGAGACAGGCCTGTCAAATTATGTTGGCATGTGTTATTTTCATATAAGCAATCATATAAATTATTCATGAATAACATAAACTATAAAGTAATGTGCAAACTTATTCAATACATTAGTAATATATACAAGTAAAATTTATATAATTTTGGATTGTCATCTCTTTCTCAACGAGAATAAGTGCAAATGCAACAACATGTTCCATGGCTAACTCCTGATTATTTAATAGTTCATCGATCGATGATCAACTTATTGCAAAATGCCCATTAAATAACAAGGTATCAATATTATGGTAACAACATATAAGAGAATTGAAAGATAAATATATTCTTATTTGGAACCAATTAGAATTTGGAAAGAAATACTTACTTATCAGTGAACATACAGTAACATTGATCAATGACACTTACCATTTATAAGAATACCTCATCCCTTGTCGGGGAGTCCATAAATAGATGCGTGTGTTGGTGCTACATATTCAAATAACCTATAAACTTTAGAATATAAAGCAATGTTACGATAAACTCAAACATTAATATAGCATTTTTGGGTTGTCATCAGCAAATATCCTATAAATCTTCTCCCACTTCTCCTTCTCCACAAAAATAGGAACCTTAATCCCCTCCCCAAGCTCCAAAAAAATTAGATTCCTTTGAATCTTCCTTTTTTTTCTTCCTCTACTATCATAGATTTTAGTGTTTGTGATGCTTCCCCGACATCCTCTTCTTCTTCTGCCACTTTTTTTTTTGGCTTTTCTATGGGGCCCACAGCTTTTCTTCAATTGAAATTATGTGTAAGGAGATTCTAATTTCCTCTTCTTATGACTATGTCTTGATTTAACTCTCTGAACCATGCAACTTAGATAAGATTTGTACAATAATTTTTTCTTGTGCTTTCTCTCAATAATTGATAATGTAATTTTCATTTAGTTAATTTTATTTTGTAAATCAGTTATTATGTGCTCATGGCTTCTGAGTAAGCGAAGAATTTCATCAATGTCATTTTTTCATTCATGTTGTGATGGAGTTGGAGTTGGAGATGAAAGTGGGGTTGGAATTGAAGTTGGAATTGGAGTTGAAGTGTTAGGAGTAGATGGTGCGACAGATAGTAAATGAGGTGAGTATCATGGGTAGATGTTAAACACAATAGTTATTAATGGAGAAAGAAGTATTCTTCGTTTTTAGTTAAATCTACAAAAGAATCATGGACCTACAATAAACAAAATAAGTACATTATCATGTTATCTATAGATATGTAATATCACCAATTAGTTAGCATCACTATTTGTTGTTCCGATGTAAGTTCAGAGAAAAAATTATCCACTGTTCTTGTACTCCAAGGTTTCATGTTAGACCATATGAATATTCAAGGCCTAGCTTCAGGTAAAGTTGAAGTGAGGGTGGAAACATGCTCATAAAACCAAAGCTTTAAAGAATTAAAATCCATTAGTTCATAAGCCTCCAAAAAATAAAAAGATTGTTGTTGTATCAGGCATACTAACCATTAATAAGAAAACAAAGCCATGCATGTACTCTAGGGCTTGATTCTGTCTTATTTTCCAAGCCACAACAACAATTTTCTTCACAAGAAAATCATAAACGGTTACTGCTTTATTAAAAAAAGAGAAACTATTTGCTTTTTCACCAAAACTATACATGCCACTCTCAAGACATTGTAATTGCTCGATGGAAAATAAGTTTCTCAGCAAAATCTTTATAAACAATTCTACATAGGGTGTTGAATATTGTCTAGAAACAACTCCCAACAAGTCATTCTTTATTTGTATGGAATTTACATGGGATGTTGGAGCTTACAACAACATTGAAGGTTAAGCATTTTCCACCTATTCATTTCAAAATTTACTGTGTTAGTGAACTTTGCTACTAGTGAGGTGGCATGTTAAAGAATTGTTTCAAATATAAATCTTTCAAAACAATTTTAGTTTCCTCATTAAGGTGCTCAAAAACTGAATCATAGATGGATCTAACAGTGGCCTGCATCTGCATGTCAGCATTCCAGAGTTCATGGCACTGCAAGAGTATTAGATAGTAAGAGAATAAACATTAGTGGTAGGAATCTAACATCACAAAGGTTTTCTTCATACCAACCATCATAATATCAGCAAAATACCACCATAACACCACTAGAATACCACAAAAATAACACTAGAATACAATAAAAAATCATAAGAGTATCATTAGTATACCACAAAAATATCTGAAGAATAACATCTGAATACCACCTGAACACCACCAAAATTTCCTTCAAATATCACCAACTAAAGACCATAAGAATGCCACCAGAATAGCACTTGTGTGGTCATTATAGTGGAATTGTGTTGTAGTGGTATTCATGTGGTGTTCAGCTGGTATTCTAGTGATATTCTTGTGGTATTATAATGATGATATTTGATGTAATTTTTGGTAGTATTCTGGTATTATTCATGTGATATTCTAGTGATATTCGAGTTGTAATGTGTGCCAAACATTTTGGTTGTAAGGTGGCCTTGTGAGGTGTGTTTTAAAATAATGTAACATTAGAACTTTGGTGCTAGTATGGTTGTAATGTGTTAATATCATAATTGTATTATGGTGATAATATGATGACATTATGGTGCTTCATGATGATATATAGGGGTACATACAAATATTATTTACATTGATTGTTCTGTGCATTATAAACAATGATATTTTTTGTTTTTCAAACACATTAAACATGTAAACCTCCCAAAATAAATTATCTTCTTTAAAATTATAAAGGAAGTAACATATGATTGTAAGGAGAGTTGGCCAAATGAAGTTCTATAATGAACAAATGAGTGTGGAGAAAATATTGCATCATGAAAACTTCTACATTGAACTTATGACACAAAATAAAAATTAAACTTCTCGGTTACACAAAGATAGACACTTGAAAATAAATAAAGTTGACTTATTCTCCCTGTTTACCACGTTGGTTTCTTCTTTTTCTCTTGATGTTTTTTTTCCATATTTGGATCCATCACAGCTAATGTTAAACCTAACTATTATATATTTGGATCCATTACTTCGAAATTGATTGAAAGCCTTATTACTTGGGACATTGGTATGGGAGAAGTCTCTTTTGGAAAGATAGTCTTGTGGATTGCTACGGTGGGTCATAAGACATTCACGTCAAAGTTAAAATCTTTAGTATGAGAATGGTTGGAATAGTGACAAATTGAAACAACTGCTTAGATACGATGATGCTAAATTCATAACCAATATACCTTTAAATAGTAAGAACAAAGATATTCCTAATACTAAAAGCAATATTGGGGATACTATTTCAAAGACCATTGCTAATACTTTTCAATGTTTTCAGGGTTTAGATCTGAAATGGAATTAGAATATATGGATAAAACCTTCTTAATCGTTCTTCATATGGAGGCTTTTTCACAAGGTTATACCTATTGATAATATCCTTAAGCTTAAGGGCCTTTGAATTACTTATATCCGCTTACTATGTAGAGAACATGATGAATTTATCGATCACATCCTTATTTTCTACAGGTTTGCGGTTGAGATTTGGAAGAAGGTTGCTATTTTTTTAATAAAAGTCGGGATGCAAGTATCTATATAGATGTAGCAGGTATCTATGAGGAATTGAAATCCTGTGGACATCCTTTTTTCTCTAATATTCCATATGTCATTTTTTATTTTATTTGGTTTGCAAGGAATAAGATAAAATTTCATAATGAGTTTCTAAATATCAATTAAATATTTGACATGATTAGCAATTGCTTATTCAAAAGTTTTAACTTCAACGGCTATAAAGGTAAGAATAGTGACAAACTTGAGAAGATGTTCGCTATGCTCAAAATTGAGCACATTCATTCAGTTAAAAATAACTTTCCTGTTTATTGGATCAAACCTCATGCACCTTATATTAAAATTAATATTGATGGTAGTTGGAAACCTACTTAATGCTGGTGTTGGAGGAGTGTGCAAGGATTTCTTAGGCAATGTTATTTGTTGGTTCACAGTCATCTGTTCTTGGCTCTGCGTTAATTGCTGAAGCTGATGCATTGGTGTTCGGCTTGATGATAGCCAATAAATATGGTTGGAAATATATAAATTTAGAAATGAATTCTCTATTGCTTTGGAAGTATTGCAGGTTAAGAGAGGAGCACCACTAGAGTATAAACATTCAGATGAAGAAGATTGTTGATTTAACCAAGGATTTATGTGTATGTTGGACACACCAAAAGTGGAGGTAATAAAATTGTGAATTAGATTGCTAAGCTTGAAAGCTATCTTACTACTACTGTTATTTTTAAATAAGCTCCCAAAACTCTTAATCAACTTGTGTATTATGATTTGAAGTAGATGTTTTTTCTTTTGGGTACTTTAGTGGGATGCGTTGCATTTTTTTTTTTTTTGGGAGAGGAGTTTTAGGTTTTTACTTTTTTATGTGAGTTGAACAGAGTGTGTGGTAGGTTCCTCTTGCCATGTGTTGTAATTTTTATTTGGTATATATATATATATATATATAGAGTAAGCAACAACATTAGTTTATAAGCTTTTAGAACCAAAACTAGCTAGAAACTCATGGAATATATCACCTTGTTAAGCTTGATATTTAAAGCATTTGCGGAGCCTTGAGTGCCTTTGTTGGTCCCGGTGTCAAAATATGGCTGACGCGTGTCAAGTCCTGCGGTAAAGAGGTCCGGTGGTGAGAACCTAAAACGCTCGGGTGCTTCAAACAGGAATCCTAAATCTCAAAAATGCAAATAAAAACCCTAGCCCCTGAAAAATGAAATAAATCGCCAATGCGTGCTTTTTTCAAGGCATTGGGACGGTCGCACGAAAAAATGTATTTTTATAAATTTTTTGAACGATGAAAAGGGGCAACATTTTACGGATGACCCATTTTTATTGAACGGAGTAGCAGTGCAATATTTCTTGCTGAGATTAGTTGGTTTTTCGAAACCAATGGCGGGCTCCATACCTTGTCAAACGCTGCATTCGGAGTGGCTTGCATCATGGGCTGCTGATGTGGAATAACGCTTAGAGGTAGGGGTTTTACTCTGTTGGATCTCTGATTGTTTGAGTAGCGGTAGTGATCCACTAGTTGTCCATGGATTTCACCGATTCCTACAAGCAGACGGGGCCTTGTAGTTTCTCCCCAAACTCCCACTATCTCGCTGTCGCCGTCAATTACCGCCTCGTGATACGCGACCTTGTTTCACTGAAGGTAAGTTCCCCCAACAATGTTTATGGTTTGTAATTAGTTGTTTTAGGGACTTTCATGTGCAAGAGACCTCAATGCTTGCACTCCCCATAATCATGAACATCTATTTTGCTCTATAAATCTGATATAAAAATGCTGTACTGTACACCAAAAAATGGCGCACGAATCTGAAGGCAATCAATCAGTTCAGATTGAAAGAAGTAAAATGAAGATCACTCCAACGAAAAACTATAAGTACTCATGAAGCCCACCCGGCTGAAGAACCACCATCCGACTGACAGTTAAGGGCTCATAGGTCAGCCTAATTGGGCCACCCAAGCCAGCAACAAGCCAGCAGGAATAAACATTCATGAACAAAGGTCAAATATCTCCACCAATCTCTCAATTACCAACAACATGAGGTTTTTTCAACAACTTCCTAAAAGATTGACAAAAATCACCAAAGGATTATAATCAAGCAAGCTGACTGGCCGTGCTGGGGGACTAGTTGGCTTTCCAAAGCAAAGACCGACCAACACTAGACAAAATAGTATATCGACGACAGCTTAGTCGACCGACCCCAAGAACCTGTCGAACAGAAGATCCAAGCCAGATAAAAAGTTACCAGAATCAGTTACAAATACGAAATGATACGACAAAAGACAATAATGACCTGTAACCACCCTATTAAAGCAGGGGTACACATGTAATTTTTCTCCTTTGGGCCCTCCATCTTCTATAGCATGCATTAAGAGGTTTTTTTGCCTCTCGAGACTTTTTACATTCTAGGCTTTGGACTCTTTGGGCTTTCTCTCTGGACCATCTATTGTAAGAAGATCATTCTTCCATTTTCTCTTGTAACCTCCCATTTACAATACATAAAATAGTTCACAGAGCCCGAAAATTCACTAATTTGCCCCTATGGGACAAACCTATGTGTGCTCTTTTACTGCTTTCTCCTTCTCTCTCTCTTCCTATTTCTCCCTCAAGGTTTCTACCGCTCCGATCATTAGTCATGCCTTACAAGACAAATCTAGATTCGACATGGACAAAACTTTTTGCACTTTTATTTAGCTTTTGAAATTAGGATAGGCTAAAAGCCCGCTTAAACATTTGAGTGTCTTTTTATTGTGCATGATAAGAATCAATATGTATATGAATATGACAAACATATCATAGCATCAGAATCAGTTGAAGTGACACGCAACTAATGTGGTTGCTTGGATGCTAATTCAGATGAAATGAATGAATCCTGGTGATGATTAATTGCAAAAATTTGGAGAAATGCATCCTTACTATTTATTAGACTAGTTCCAAACTTTTCGGGAATTTAGAGTATCCCAACTCTTTTATAAGAAAATGGAAGATTGTGGTCTGCAAAACCTTGGAAGGGTCCTTGATTTATCAGTTATTCAGTTCATGAGGAATGTTATAGTTTAACTTATTGGCTATTGCAAATCGGCTCACCAATAATGGGCATTATAATCTTGTATGGATTCATAATATACTGAAACAGAAATTGTTTTTATGCATTCTTCTCTTCTTCTTTATTTCATTTTATGACAACCAATTTCTCTTACCTGTTGTCCATCCCAGCTTTATCCAATTTACGTCCTCACCGTGCATGGCTGCAGAATGCTGCTCTTAAATTTGAGGAATAAATTTTAACATCAAAACTTTCCCCAACTCAACTGGGAAATTTTTCAGTATGTCCCAAGTAGAGCTGCACTGATGATTGTAAATTGCCTTTTATTTTACTTCATTAAATTTAGTGTTAAATTTAGCTATGTTGCATTTGGAAATATTGCTCCTGTTCAATAGATTGCTATGCTGACACATTTATTCTATGTATAGGTTGTACAGCTTTACTCCTGTGTTGACAAAATAAGCTATATAGAATGGGCATCCGATTCGGAGTACATCCTTTGTGGTCTTTACAAGAGGCCAGTGGTTCAGGCTTGGTCATTAACCCAATCAGAATGGACTTGTAAAATAGATGAAGGCCCTGCTGGAATTGCTTATGCAAGATGGAGCCCTGATAGCCGCCACATACTGACAACTTCTGAGTTCCAGCTACGATTGACTGTCTGGTCACTTGTGAACACTGCTTGTGTTCATGTGCAGTGGCCGAAACATACTTCAAAGGGTGTTTCTTTTACCAAAGATGGAAAATTTGCTGCTATTTGCACCAGAAGAGACTGTAAAGACTACATAAATCTGCTTTCTTGTCATTCATGGGAAATCATGGGTACTTTTGCAGTTGATACAATAGACTTGGCCGGTGTTGAATGGTCTCCAGATGATAGTGCCCTTGTAACATGGGATTCACTACTTGATTATAAGGTAAAATGATTTAGTCTATTAGATGATAGAATAGAAAAATCACAAATGCTTCTTTTCTTTGTTTTTTTGTGGACCATAAGCACCGTGAGGTATCACTTTTAGTGTATTACAGAAATAGAACAACTCTTTTTTCTTTTTTTTCCTAAATAAACTTGAAGTGTGATTTCTTAACTGTAATTTCATACTTAGGCTGAGGTTGTTGGCCATGAAATTCAGCAATGATAGATATTTTGGTCTCAAAAGGGTTAACCTGTATTATAACTTATATACTTGCATAAAAGGAATTTTATCATTCTTGTTGTTTATCTTCTTCTTCTTCCTCCATATAACTTTCATGGATGAGAGGTTAAAGTTTCAAACCATGTTATTGAATTTCTGGGAATGCATAATGCAACAATTATGTCTCTAGGTAAAACAGAGTCGTTGCATGATTATGGTTTTGATCTTTTTCCTAGTAGGCATAGACACGTATAGCTTCATGAGGATATGAAAGACTTGAGAAGTAGAAACCTGTATGTTGTTATGTGATAGATTAATATATAGTTTGAGTTTTTGACGGAGAGAGGGAGATGTCTTTGAGAGCAGCACATATGAGCTAATGCAAATGAAAATAATTTTCATGACTATTGTAATAGATTAAAAGCAATAACACAATAATGCTGATAAATAATTCCTATTATGAACTACCAAATCTCACTTGTTTTTATTTTAACATTATGATAAAATATATATATTTAAGAGGTTTCAATAGAATGCAAACATTTTATTAGTAAATTCTGCTATGTCACGAAGAATTTACTATTCTGTTCATGGAGTAGCAAGAAAGCATTAGATGCAAGATCTTACCCTTCTTTGAGAAGCATGCATGATTCATTGTTTTGGAAGACTTTTAGTACGTAGTTCACTTGATTTGTTCTTGAGTTTCAAAATGTTTTGGAAATCTTTATCATGATTTTTTAGTCATAGGCTCCACTGAACATGAAATATATATGAGTATTTTTGTTAACGTAATATCTGGAATGAAGTAACATAACAAGAAATAATAATTCATATTTTATTTAGAATATTTTATAATTTTTCTTTCATTTCTTTTATCTCTATTGTCATTTATGGCTACACGTTTTTGTATTTCTTTTATGCCTTTTATACAAGTAGTTTTATTTATATCTCCACTTGTTAAAATTTGTTAGACGTGTGATGTACATTGATGAATAATCATATAAGTATAGTCTTTATACATCCACTTAAATACATATAAAGTACAGAAGTCAGCAACATTTATTTCCACTTTTTTAAAATGTATAAAATTCTATATATTATGAAATACCTATTGAAAAATTAGTATGCGCATGTCAATATTAATAAAATAATTAACTCAATGACATATCAAAAGTTACAAGGTGAAATCTTTTTAAATTTTCATATATCTAAGTTTGTATTAAATCGAACCAATAAAATACTAGAATTAGTACGAGATCAACGAAATTGAAAGCTGCTGTAACATCCTACTTTGAGCTGCTATATTTCCTCAATTGGCCCAGCGGATAAAATCGGTTCTTAAAATTTTTGTTTCCTTTTCCCCTCTTTCTCTAAATCATGTTCATGGAATAAAGGAGAAAAAAAAATGCATGGAAATAAGTTTCTGGAAGTAGACAAGTATATATATAAATTTATATAAAAGCTTAAATAAAGTTATATAAGCAAATATAAAAATTATATCTTTCATTCCAATTTTATGTGAATTATTTTATAGTTTGAAATTTAGAGTTTCAAAAATGATAAAAATATAACCATTAAATACTACATGCTTAGAACACTTTGGTAAAATATAGATTGCATTGATTCAAGAAAATTTGCTTTCACAAAAATATGCTAATTTCTTAAAAAGATAAGTTAAATAGAAAACCTTTTTTTTATATCTACAATGTTCATAAAAATACATAAAAATATACTTAAAATAGAGTATAAATTTCTATAATGTGGTGAAGACTTAATCGGATATAAAATACATGCAAAAAGATTGGGATAATTACATACAGAGCAGAAGGAACATTGCTATTTACAAAATCGAGCACCTAGGTCCTTTTTTGAACTATGAAACTAATGAATTTGTGCTTGCCAAGATCAAACCATTGTGAATTCGATAAAAATGAAAAATATGAGTTGAGGTTTTATCATGACCTTTGAAGTGAGAATTTGAAAATGGATGAAAGAGGGAGCTTGATTTGTAAATAGCAATGTTTTGGGTGCCCTATATGTCATCGCCCCTAAAAAATTTAATTAAATGCACTAAAGTTATTTTCGACATATTGTAATTCTATCCAAACCAAAATCATGAAAAGTGGACTAATAAACCAATCACAAAATTAACTCTAAAAATTTATAAAAAAGTAGTGAACATAAAATAAACATTTTTGTCTTACCATGTCTAAATATAGTCACCTACAGGTAGGCTTAAAACACTGTAGAAATTGCCATTACACGTACCCATATTTATAATCACATAACCAATAAGAAATTCTTCTTGATCAAACCTAGATAATATCCAAATTATAGAAGTTGGCTTTTTAGAGGAATCACTTGGATTAATTATTTGGAATATGATGGTCCTAGTTATGAAAAAAGCAAGTTAAATTGAAGCCGTAAAACCTATTTGTAGGAGAGGCAATTCCACTGGTAAAAGAAAGCTGGTTTAGACTCTGTGTAGAAAGCCATTGGAGCCACTGAAAGGTTGCCTCTAGAAACGGTTAACTAGTGAAGACTAGGTGAAGAATGCTATGGGAGCCACTGAAATAATGGCTCTAGAAAAGAAGAGGTCTGTGAATCCCTTGGATAGCTATTGTACCAGGTAACATCAATGTGTTACTTATAATTTATTATATTATGTGATTAGATTTGATTTTTTTTTGTTTAACCATGACAACTCTAATAACAAATGGAAAATAATAATTAGATCTGACTACGTTAGTTTGACTTGTTTACATCTAATTTTGGTTCTCTAGTGTTGGATTTCAATCCTATTGTGCAGCTTAAATCAACTCAATTTTATTTGAACTCAATTCAAACTTCAATATAAAAGTACTGACTCAATTCAAACTTCAATATAAAAGTACTGATCTTAATATGGATGGAATTCTAGCCTTGATTATGACAACAGTGCATGCTTTGCTGTTGCACAACTGCTGAACGGGCAAAGAGTGTTGTCACAACAACGAAAAGCCTTTATCCCACTGAGGTTGGCTAGATGAATCTTTTTTCTCAATTTCATTCTATTGAGTGTCATATTTTCATTTAATTCTAAAATATTAAAATCAATTTTTATACAATATCCCTAAGCCTTTTTAGGTCTACCTTTGCCTTTCTTAACATAAGTCGAATTAAAAACATCTACACTCCTAATCAAATATTCAGATGGTCAGCGTTTAATGTGACCAAATCACCTAAGAAGACTCTTTTTAATCTTGTCCATCACTGGAGTTACACCAATCCTATCACAGATATATTTATTTCGAATTTTATTTTTAAGTGTTAAGCCACTCATACACCTAAGCATTCTCATCTCAGCAACATTTAATGTATATGCTATTTTTTCTGATTTGGGTTCAATTTTTCGATTCAGTTTTCTGTCGTCGACATCTTTTTCCTTGTTAGGCCTGTATTCGAGGACGGTTGGTGCTCTGACTGTATTCTGCTCCAACGCGGTGGTTATCTTCATATATTTTTTCCTCTATGTCCCTAACCTTTTTGCTGTCGCGCTCCTTGTGCAACTCCCACCTACTGTTGTACCCTCCCTGCACCTTCCTTGCTGCTGCCACCGTTCCTGCATTCTCCTTCCTTGTGGCCGCAATTCCTGCAACACCTTAGCTTGCTGTCGCCCTTCCTAGGTCCACTCATCACTGCTCAGCTTGCTGTCCCGCTGTCGGATAGCCCCACAACCCCTACTTCCTTAGCCACAACCGCCTTCCCACCTCGCCCAAGTGGGGTATTTGTGTTTGTATCATGCTTTTTTATTTCAAGTGTCGTTGATTGTAATCTTACTTGCTTCTCATATTGGGTTTTCGGTTAACTCCGGTATCATTTGGTATCAGAGCTAGTGTAACTTTAATCATACTCTAGTGTTTTTGGTTAACTCCAGTATCATTTGGTATCAGAGCTAACATAAATTTAGTCATATACTAGTGTTTCTAGCATCCGCCATAGGAAATTACCATCATATCCATTTGATATCAGACATTGATGACGGGACTGGGAGGGAAATTACCTTTGACCGTGATAAAAAGAGTCGAAGGGTAGAATAGATGAGAATGAGAACCCCTTCCATAGGAAGGATTTCAATGAAGAAGATGACTGGTCCCGACGCTTCAAAATTCATTAACATAGAAGGTTGAGAGTGGGCATGACGTTTCAGAGTGAAAGTGGGTTTATTGGAGTTCGAAGGAAGGATGAATCTAGATGAATTTATTGCAGTCGGTTGAGAAAATCTTTGAATACAAAGAAGTGCCAAAAGATATGATGGGGAATCTCACTACCATCAAATTAGGAAAGAACATTTCTTTGTGGTTCGAAAATTTTCATAGGCAAAGGAGAGAAGGAAGTGATAAATTTACTAGACAGAAGAAGACGAGGAAGGAGATGCAGAAGAACTACTTACCTCCTCACTGCCTTCATGATATGTTTTTGAGGCTTTATGACCTGCAACAAAGAGACCTCTCAGTGGAGAAGTTCAAGACATAATTTGATCAACTTCAAATGAAATGCAAGTTGGTAGAGCCAGAGGAACATATTATAGCCAGATATTGGGGGGTTTGAAGCCAATTATTAGTAACATTGTGCAATTGCAAGCCTATTGGCCACTAGGAGATGTCTAGACCTTAGTCTTGAAGAAAATGAGTTTTGAAGAAGAAGAAATAGTAGAACCTAAGCATACACCCGCTCTTATTTAGACAACCACCTACAACTGCAGCTACCAACAAGGGTACATCTGGAGGGGTTGGAAAGAC